AACATTTCCCAGGACAAAAAGAGCAGCAACAATGGAGGAATTCGCAGCAAAGGGCGTCCATTTTCAGGGACCAGTGTCAACTCTCAATTATAAGATATGCAGCAAATTTACCCTGGGGCATTATCTCTCGTGGCCTTGATGAGGACAGGAAGCCCGAGGCTTGTCAAAGGTTATCCCATTTGTCCTGACAATTTTATCGAGCTGGAATGTGAACTTCAGCAGTGTTTTGGCTTTTACGACTTAAAATCAACGCAAAACTATTTTACGTTGATACTTTTTTTCACGGCGAGATGGTGAATGCTTCCCTCCCGTAAGATTTTCTCAATGCGCTTGTAAATTGCGGTCAAGCTGATCAGAAGTAATTTTCAGCCGAGATGTGTCTGCCTTTTTTGAAAATAGAGGTAACATTTGCATATTTCTAATCAATGGCAGTTCACTCTATTCGAATCGAGCCCGAAAAATTGTAAAGGCACTGCCAACAGAGCCAAAAAATGCGGACCTAGCAGGCATTTTTAATTAGTGATCGTATATACTCTGACATTTAATACAAGACACTAACACACTCGACTGGTGTCTTGGATAATGTATATATGCCATAGCCTCATAGTCAACACACGCAAAAAAAAAAATGTATTTTGACATAAAATGTTCACATATAATGCATGTTTTACCATAATGGAAGCTTAAACTCAGTCTGTGTTAACTGATTAGTACGTAAACTAGTTTTATATAATTAATTAAAGGTGGGTGCGTTGCCATAAGCTAAGTGGCAGTTCAATACATTCTTGAGCTTGAGCGGCGCCACCAGCCCGAAGCTGCAGTGTTACCGTCAGTAACTTAGCAGCTGGCCAGGGACATACTCATCCATCACTGCACATTCTCAGGTGAGCTCATTAATGTCAAGAGATTCGTGCAAAAAGATACATGCATTAGGTGTATGACAAATGTAAAAGACAAAGTTATAAAAGCTTGTAATTAAGAGCATCAAGTAAGATAAGCAAATTTATTAACGAACTTGCCAACAATTAATATGAAAGTTAGTCCCAAAAAATTATACATTATAAACAAATATGTTATTGTTGTTTAGATATGTTAGCCTCTTGCAATATATGAGGCTGTGATTCATACGTCAGGCTGCGAGCAGCCGCGTCCAACAGCCTGGTTGATCAGTCCGGCAACCAGGAGGCCTGGTCGACGACCGGGCCGCGGGGACGCTAAGCCCCGGAAGCACCTCAAGGTAACCTCAAGGTAACCTCAAGGTATAGTAGTCTACAGACACTATTGCAACAACGAATAATTATAACGCCCTTGAACAATCAGCAATAAGTTGAAGGGAAGAATTGTAGTTCAATTATTCGTTGTGTTGACTTAACAAATCATTTATGTAGGCCTATACTGCGGGCATTTTGTGGACAGTGATAAGTCAATTTTACTTTATTAATTCCCAAGAAAAATTTAGGAAAACACAATTGTTTTAACAAAACTAAATTGTTTTCAATGCCAAAATCATTTGTATTACACCTACTAGATTTAATATTTGACAACTGACCTTAAAATATATTACAAGTATATAATAAATAAAAACAATATTTAGATATCGAGAAATCAAAGAGTTTTTATATCAACAGAAGCAAATGTCAAGTAGTTAATGTTCTGTTATTTGTGTCACTCGTTTAACCACCTATTCCACCAAGAATAGGCCTATCTGTACCTTGATATTTGACATGCTCGCTGGTGGTGCCGCGGAGCCTAGCAACCAGCCGGTTGTCAAGAGTTACAGAGTTGAGGGTGAGGCGGGAGTGTTGTAGTGTAGCCAAGTTTACCTGTCATACACTGCTGCTGCTGCAAGTGTAGGGACCCATAGACTCCAAGAAGAAAATAAAAAGTATTCATAGAAGACCTTGTGGATTCTCATTCTCACTGAACACTTTAGTGTTTTATATATATATATATATATATATATATATATATATATATATATATATATATATATATATATATATATATATATATATATATGTATGTATGTATGTATGTATATGTATGTATGTATATGTATGTATGTATGTGTGTGTGTACTCACCTAATTGTGCTTGCGGGGGTTGACCTCTGGCTCTTTGGTCCCGCCTCTCAACCGTCAATCAACAGGTGTACAGGTTCCTGAGCCTATTGGGCTCTATCATATCTACACTTGAAACTGTGTATGGAGTCAGCCTCCACCACATCACTTCCTAATGCATTCTATTTGTCAACCACTCTGACACTAAAAAAATTCTTTCCAATATCTTTCTGGCTCATTTGGGCACTCAGTTTCCACCTGTGTCCCCTAGTGCGTGTGCCCCTTGTGTTAAATAGACTGTCTTTATCTACCCTATCGATTCCCTTGAGAATCTTGAATTTGGTGATCATGTCCCCCCCTAACTCTTCTGTCTTCCAGCGAAGTGAGGTTTAATTAATTCCCGTAGTCTCTTCTCGTAGCTCATACCTCTCAGCTCAGGTACTAGTCTGGTGGCAAACCTTTGAACCTTTTCCAGTTTAGTCTTATCCTTGACTAGGACTAGATATGGACTCCATGCTGGGGCTGCATACTCCAGGATTGGCCTGACATATGTGGTATACAAAGTTCTGAATGATTCCTTACACAAGTTTCTGAATGCCGTTCGTATGTTGGCCAGCCTGGCATATGCCGCTGATGTTATCCGCTTGATATGTGCTGCAGGAGACAGGTCTGGCGTGATATTAACTCCCAAGTCTTTTTCTCTCTCTGACTCGTGAAGAGTTTCATCTCCCATATGATACCTTGTATTTGGTTTCCTGCTCCCTATACCTATCTTCATTACATTACATTTGCTTGGGTTAAACTCTAACAACCATTTGGTTCGACATTTCCTTCAGCTTGTCTAGGTTTTCTTGAAGCCTCAAGCAGTCCTCCTCTGTCTTAATCCTTCTCATAATTTTGGCATCGTCAGCAAACATTGAGAGAAATGAATCTATACCCTCCGGGAGATCATTTACATATATCAGAAACAAGATAGGACCAAGTACAGAGCCCTGTGGGACTCCACTGGTGACTTCACGCCAATCTGAGGTCTCATCCCTCACCGTAACTCTCTGCTTCCTATTGCTTAGGTACTCCCTTATCCACTGGAGCACCTTACCAGCTACACCTGCCTGTCTCTCCAGCTTATGTTCCAGCCTCTTATGCGGTACTCTGTCAAAGGCTTTCCGACAATCCAAGAAAATGCAGTCCGCCCAGCCCTCTCTTTCTTGCTTAATCTTTGTCTCCTGGTCGTAGAATTCTATTAAGCCTGTAAGGCAAGATTTACCCTCCCTGAACCCATGTTGGCGATTTGTCACGAAGTCCCTTCTCTCCAGATGTGCTACCAGGTTTTTTCTCACGATCTTCTCCATCACCTTGCATGGTATACAAGTCAAGGACGCTGGCCTGTAGTTCAGTGCCTCTTGCCTGTCGCCCTTTTTGTATATTGGGACCACATTCGCCGTCTTCTTTATTTCTGGTATGTCTCCCGTCTCCAGTGTGTGTGTGTGTGTGTGTGTACTCACCTAGTTGTACTCACCTAGTTGTGCTTGCGGGGGTTGAGCTCTGGCTCTTTGGTCCCGCCTCTCAACTGTCAATCAACAACGTGATTGACGTTGTTGATTGCACGCACACACACACGTTGTTGATTGCACGCACACACACACACAACGTGTGTGTGTGTGTGTGTGTACTCACCTAGTTGTGTCTGCAGGATCGAGCATTGACTCTTGGATCCCGCCTTTCGAGCATCGGTTGTTTACAGCAATGACTCCTGTCCCATTTCCCTATCATACCTGGTTTTAAAATTATGAATAGTATTTGCTTCCACAACCTGTTCCTGAAGTGCATTCCATTTTCCCACTACTCTCACGCTAAAAGAAAACTTCCTAACATCTCTGTGACTCATCTGAGTTTCAAGCTTCCATCCATGTCCCCTCGTTCTGTTACTATTCCGTGTGAACATTTCGTCTATGTCCACTCTGTCAATCCCTCTGAGTATCTTATACGTTCCTATCATGTCCCCCCTCTCCCTTCTTCTTTCTAGTGTCGTAAGGCACAGTTCCCTCAGGCGCTCCTCATACCCCATCCCTCGTAGCTCTGGGACGAGTCTCGTTGCAAACCTCTGAACCTTTTCCAGTTTCATTATATGCTTCTTCAGATGGGGACTCCATGATGAGGCGGCATACTCTAAGACTGGCCTTACGTAGGCAGTGTAAAGCGCCCTAAATGCCTCCTTACTTAGGTTTCTGAATGATGTTCTAACTTTTGCCAGTGTAGAGTACGCTGCTGTCGTTATCCTATTTATATGTGCCTCAGGAGATAGATTAGGTGTTACGTCCACCCCCAGGTCTCTTTCACGCGTCGTTACAGGTAGGCTGTTCCCTTTCATTGTGTACTGTCCCTTTGGTCTCCTATCTCCTAGTCCCATTTCCATAACTTTACATTTGCTCGTGTTGAATTCCAGTAGCCATTTCTCTGACCATCTCTGTAACCTGTTCAGGTCCTCTTGGAGGATCCTGCAATCCTCATCTGTTACAACTCTTCTCATCAACTTTGCGTCATCCGCAAACATCGACATGTAGGACTCTACGCCTGTAAACATGTCGTTAACATATACAAGAAATAGAATTGGTCCCAGCACCGATCCTTGTAGTACTCCACTTGTTACTGTTCGCCAGTCCGACTTCTCGCCCCTTACCATAACTCTTTGGCTCCTTCCTGTTAGGTAGTTCCTTATCCATGCTAGGACCTTTCCCCCCACCCCCGCCTGCATGCTGTTGCACTTTTTCCAGTCAATTGTGTGTGTGTGTGTGTGTGTGTGTGTGTGTGTGTGTGTGTGTGTGTGTGTGTGTGTGTGTGTGCGTGTGCGTACGCGTGCGTGCGTGCGTGCGTGCGTGCTCGAGTGTCTGACTATATTTACAGTCTCCCAGTAACACACAATATATATTTCAGTAGCGAGATGGGTCTCCACCCGGCATTGATCGCCGGGCTGGTTAGTTTGGCGGTCTTCCTCACAGGTAAAGTATCTTCTCTATACATCCAGGTGTGTGGGGGATGGTTATAGCCAGGTGTGTGAGGATGATTATAGCCAGGTGTGTGAGGATGGGTATAACCAGGTGTGTGAGGATGGTTATAGCCAGGTGTGTGAGAATGGCTATAGCCAGGTGTGTGAGGATGGCTATAACCAGGTGTGTGAGGATGGTTATAGCCGGGTGTGTGAGGATGGCTATAGCCAGGTGTGTGAGGATGGCTATAGCCGGGTGTGTGAGGATGGTTATAGCCAGGTGTGTGGGGATGGTTATAGCCAGGTGTGTGAGGATGGTTATAGCCAGGTGTGTGGGGATGGCTATAGCCGGGTGTGTGAGGATGGTTATAGCCAGGTGTGTGGGGATGGTTATAGCCAGGTGTGTGAGGATGGTTATAGCCAGGTGTGTGAGGATGGTTATAGCCGGGTGTGTGAGGGGTGGCTGTATCCAGGTGTGTATGTGTATGTGTAATTACCTAAGTGTAGTTACAGGATGAGAGCTACGCTCGTGGTGTCCCGTCTTCCCAGCACTCTTTGTCGTATAACGTTTTGAAACTACGGACGGGTTTGGCCTCCACCACCTTCTCACTTGTTCCAACCGTCTACCACACTGTAAAAGAAAACTTTTTAATATTTTTTCGGTACCTTGTTTTCTTAGCTTGAATCTGTGCCATCTTGTTCTTGAAGTTACTGGTTTCAGGAATTCCTCATTGTCAATTTAGTCGATTCCTGTTATTATTTTGTAAGTGGTGATCATATCTCCTCTTTTTCTTCCTCTAGCTTTGGCATATTTAACGCCTGTAGTCTTTCTTCGTAACTCTTATTTTTTCAGTTCCGGAAGCCATTTTGTAGCATGCCGTTGCACCTTTTTCCAGTCAATTTATGTGCTTCTTGAGATTTGGGCACCACACAACTGCTGCATATTCCATTTTTGGTCACACAAAAGTCATGAACAGTTTCTTTAGTATTTCACCATCCATATAATTAAAACTGATTCGTATTATAGTGGGTGACGTATTACAGTGGTTGACGTATTACAGTGCTTGACGTATTACAGCGGGTGACGTATTACAGCGGGTGACGTATTACAGCGGGTGACCTATTACAGCGGGTGACGTATTACATTGGATGACGTATTACAATGGATGACGTGACACAGTTGGGGTGTACCTGCTGAGGTCTCCTCTGGTACACATTTTGCTTCCAAAGCACTACAATGACACTCCAGCATTTCTGAGGCTGTGTTGACATCCTTGAGGCAATGGGCCCTGTTGTTGTTGTTTTAGATTTAGCTACTCAGAACGAAATGTCCATGTAACACGGGCTATGATGAGCCCGTACATATAATAGGCCCTCTTTTGTGCCGAAGATGTCTTCCTCTGGTCGTTACGGTGGCGTGAGACACATGCACCCTATAGTTCCCACCTTGATCCTAAATCAACAAGCACATATTGTACATTTGTTTTTAAGTAATGCACATGTTCTAAGTACCGCAAATTACTCTGTAGGAACACATTACTCCGCCATAAGCAGCGGTCGACGTCTAGCCTAACCTGTCTGATGCCGTCTTGGGGCTAATTGTATGGCGTGATTCAGGTGTTAGTAACAAATACTATTTCTTCTACTATTATTTCAACTACTGGTGTAACTACCAATTACTACTACTACTACTAAGCGTAATCATAATAATTTTGTTTCAGGTTTCGTGGTCCTTTTCCTGGCGACGTGTCTGTGTTGTCCCGCCAAAATCCACGCGGCGGTTAAGGAGCCGTCTGAGTCTCCCGAGTGAGTTCAAATTCAAATTTTTATTCGGGTAAAAAGTACATACATAGATGATGAGTTAGAAACATAAGTGTTGGATTTATAGATAAAGCTAGTACATACCTAAAGCCACTACGACGAGAATTGTAGGTGTTATTGCAGTCTCTCTAGGCAGATGGAATGCCAGTCACATAAAACCAAAATAATAATAAAAAAAGAAAGAAAAAAGTTAAGACTGCAATTTGTCTTCACTGTGAGGTTAACTGTAGGAGAAAACATACAGAACAAAATTAAAAAAATACTTAACTTTAATAAGAATCTTACTTTAAGCAAATTACAAAATAAAAATATTATTTAAACTTGGCTTTATACAGAGTACAAATTAAACAAGATAAACAGACAATCAAATTTACGTTACGTTAATGTGCAAAATAAAATATGGTGTAGAAATACTGTGAGCTAGGCTGACTAAATCTGTTACCACACCGAGATGTGTTAACGGGTCTACTCAGTTGAGCACACAGGAGTAATCTAACTGGTAGTGAGCTAGGCAGCCCTATATATACACGATGACGGCCGGGCAGAGGGCGTTGGTGACTTCTTTAACTATTAACCGGCTCTAAAACTGCTTGTTTGAGATGGCGTGAGCTCCCGGAGCGTCGCCAAGTGCGAGGAGGGTGACGGGCCGTGGGGTAGGTAGACTGGTGGTATTGTCTAGACATCTGGAAGTAGTAGTTGTTGTTCTTGTGGCTGCAGTACTTGAATATATAGACGTGGTAATGGGTAGAATACGTGATGAGGGAGTAGGCCGAATCTCTTACTAGAGATTTTACCGTGACACCACTAATACGCATAGAGTTTCGGCCATTCGGCCAAACGCTAATATGCATAGCGTTTCGAGTAGTTCACTCTAGCTCATCACATCATTTATTTAGTGTTGCAGCTGCACATAATTATTATATGTTGATGTCAGCAAAGTTTTGGTATTATCGTTGCTTGTAACTAAAGAATTTCTTTTTTAGGGGTGGGGGGGGGGGGGGCAGAAGACATATTGAATTCTTTTTATTTTAAATTAGATGTTTACTCTGGTATTCTTACTTACAGTGAATGTCAGGACGGTAGGGAGGATGACGGTGGAGCCCAAGATAGCAGGGGGGATGACGTTGTACGTCACGAAGACAAGCAGGATAGCTTTATACGTCACGACGAAAAGCAAGATGGTGTACGTCAAAACGTCAAGCGGGAAGTAATGGGTCACGACGTCAAGCAAGATGAAGTTATTCGTCCCAACGTCAAGCGGGATGAAGTTATACGTCCTGACGTCAAGCGGGATGAAGTTATACGTCACGACATCAAGCGGGATGAAGTTATACGTCCCGACATCAAGCGGGATGAAGTTATACGTCACGACGTCAAGCGGGATGAAGTTATACGTCCCGACGTCAAGCAGGATGAAGTTATACGTCCCGACGTCAAGCGGGATGAAGTTATACGTCACGACGTCAAGCGGGATGAAGTTATTCGCCACGATGGCAGGTGGGATGAAGTTATATGTCTCGACGCCAAGCGGGAAGAAGTTATACTTCATAACACCGATCGAAATAAGGTTATACGTCATGAAGGCAAACGTGATGAATTTATACGTCATGACGGCACGCGGGTTGAAGTTATACGTCACGAGAGCAAGCAGAATGAAGTTATACATCACAACAGCAAGCAGGATGATGTTATACGCCACGACGGAAAACGGGATGAAGTTATACGCCACGACGGAAAACGGGATGAAGTTATACGCCACGACGGAAAACGGGATGAAGTTATACATCCAGACAGAAAACGGGACGAAGTTATTCATCACGACGTCAAGCAGGACGAAGATTTAAGCGATCATCAGTCAACAAGAAATGAAAGGTCAGAGGAATGCAATCCAAAGAGAAGTGCCAGTAAAGACCACGTGGTAACTCAAGTGTTGAGTGCAAGAGACACTCTGGAGGCCGGAGTGCGGACTCGGAACTCCAACATGGATGGCGGCGGGACAGGAAGTTAACAAAGTTCTCGTGGAAACGTTGTGGAGAGAAGTGTCTTCTAGTCATGAGAGCTCGAAGTCTGCTCAGAGCTGACGGATAGAACGTCAACAAAAGAGAACGCTGATTCAAATTCAAAAATTCCGTTCTCCTGGGGCCAGATTTACGAAAGCACTTACGCAAGCACTTACGAACCTGTACATCTTTTCTCAATCTTTGGCGGCTTTGTTTCCACTTATTAAACAGTTAATGAGCTCCGAAGCACCAGGAGGATGTTTATAACAGTAACAACAGTTGAATGGGAAGTTTTCATGCTTGTAAACTGTTTAATAAATGTAATCAAAGCCGTCAAAGATTGAGGAAAGATGTACACGTTCGTAAGTGGTTGCGTAAGTGCTTTCGTGAATCTGGCCCCTGGGATCTAGGAGACTCGAACCACGGACCCCGAAGCTTTTTTGATGTTCATAAGATCGTCCAACCATCATAGCCAAATGGGTGATATTAAAATATTTTGGGAAAGTGTAAAGCTAAGATGATATATACTGCAGGCTTGCAAAAAGAGCTTTACGAACTTCACACAGAGTCACAGGATAAGATCCTGCTCTTCGTTACTGATAAATACAGACACCATGACTCTGTAACGTCCGTGAATGAGACGGACTTGGAAGTAATAGTCCATCAGACACTAAACATTGCTCAGACAGTACCAGCTGGCATCAGACCCAAAAGCCAACTAATCCCAAAGAATACTGAGACAAGTCTTTGACATCAAGGAAAAATAGTATCGTCTAGAAAAGCATACATTATCGTGCTGGATTTTTTTCCAGAGCAATGAAAATCATTCAAAATTGTCAAGTGTCATTAGCATGAAAGTCTGAGGACCACAGGACTTAACTATGCAAATATAACCTGACAAATTTAATCTCACTGAGACTTAAAAGTCCAGTGTGACTCCCACAAAAAAAAAACTTAATTCTCAACAAGTTACAACACAGGAACTCAGGAAGGTAGACCGAAACGTCGTCGTCCCTTCACCTTCTAGTGTGTGGTCTGGTCAACACAGGAACGACTGCACGAGTTTGTTCACACACATACAGTAATAAAGTCATGAAAACTTCCCACCCGCCGACATCGTAAAGATCAAGACAGTGCTACTGTTGGAAATACATCCTAAACAACACCTCGGGAGGGACGTTCCATAGACCAGCCTTCCCCGCCACGAGTCCTGTTGTAAGGATAAGATAAATGGGGAGTCATGACCCACGTCTGTGGGGTCCTTGTCGTATATTAAGTGACAGCTGATGGCTGTTGTCTTCATGCAGATCTTCCAATATATTTCACTGCCATAAATGCTGTTGAATGCGGAGAATGAATGGTCAAATGTGTCGTTGTGTAGATACTTCTTTACGGAGGTGATGAAATACTTGTCACTTATTAAATTATTGGCACTGATGAAATACTTGCACTTATTAAATTATTGGCACTTATTAAATTATTGGCACTTATTAAATTATTGGCACTTATTAAATTATTGGTACTTATTAAGTTCTTGACACAGATGACCCCCCTTGTGGGTGCGGCGTCTATGTGAAGGAGTTCTTGTGCAGCGTGCTGGGGCGTGTGAGGGCGGCGTCTGGTGGTACCCGCTCCTCCAGCCTGCTGTGGAGGTGCACAGCCACAACACTCTCTGGTTTATATATCTATGAATGGAGAACCGTTTATTTACAGTGGCCCTACACCTGGAAGTCGTTTTATCCAGTGTCTGCGGTTCCTGGGGAACAATACTTTGGTGGAGAGGTAAAATAGGAGGTTTAGTGAGGCCCAACTGAATCAGTTGGCTAATCTAGTTAGCAAACCTAGTCCAACTTGGGTCAACTAGGCACTGGAGAGCCTGTATCCCTGACGATTCCTGGGTTGCCATTCACACCTTTCACTGGTTATCTGCTTATACTCTCCTTGTTAATCTTGGGTAGCCCAAGTGATTATACTTTCCCTTTTCGCGCTCTGTGGTGGATGGTAGTGAAGTTTAATATACCTTGTTCTATGCATATTTTTCCAAGCACACACACACTTGCTTCCTTTTCTGACTTATGTGGTAGGCAACCAGGACCTCAAAACAGACCAGTTTAAAGGATCGGTTTCCCCTCTCCCGTAGATGAACGCTCGGCATAGTTGTTGCTGTGTTGGGCCCCTGACTTGGGAAAGTCCTTGGTTCAGCTTTTAAATTTTCAGTCTCCGTGCATCTGTTGCCTGCATGGCTGTTGTGGCTACTGCAGTACCAGTAGCCACAGGTTTGACTACTAGTGCATCTCCCTCAGTGATTGCTACGTCGACGCCTTATGTTTCCTTCACTATTGTGGGTCTCGACGTCGTAATCGCCCTTGTTTCGGTGCTGTTGTATTGTCCTCACTTCTTCAGTTACATATTTGGCCCATCGACGTGGGATAAATATTTTGATCTTGCGTTTGCTGATGAGCTAGAATTCCATCGCAGCCTGATTAGGTTTGTTGGCTGGAACATTACCTTCCGTTGTCAGTAATTTAACACATTGTTAAGGTCCACTCATAATTAGTCTGGCTACCTCGCTGTCATCTTACATGTTGGTGAGGTTTTAGTCTGTGTTACTAAAAATGTTCCATTAAATACAAGAATTGTGACATTTGTTTATATTCCCACTTCAGAATTGGAGGCAAGGATCTCAGAAATTGCCACAATGACATCCGGGCAATGTTAGAGGTCCAGGCACACTCACACCTCCTCATGGTATGGGTACTCAGCCCCTCTGGACCACAAAGATTAGTTTTGATAGTCGCTCCCTTCCCACATCCTTCGATGTGCCAAATGTTATATTCAAGAGTTTGTCCCTTCTCCACGCTAATGCAATTCTTGTTGGAAGTTTTGCCATGACGCTGTAACCTGTGTGAGGTATTCTTTTGCATCCTGTGTGGTAATGCTGAACATGTAAACGATACTTGTGAGTCTCTCCCTGTTCTATGCATTAGGAGTGATGAGGGCTAAACTGCATTCTCCCGGCCCTGTTCTTACTACAAAAATGAGCAATCCCTTTATGCCCTCAAGCATAAGGACAACATCCCCTTCTCTGAGGCGAGGTCCCAGCTACTGTGTCTGGAGCTTTTCCATGATATAACCTATGCATGTGCTGCCCAGCCAGAACCTTTGACTCACAATTCTCGTAGGCATCGTCCTTGACCCGTCGTCTGACGATATGCATCATTCAAGCGGTTCTGATGCCGTTTGTTCTTTACCAGTCCGAAGTTTACCTTGAAAACCGGTATCCCATCACCGCAAGATGCTCGACTGTTAACCTGTTGTGGGTCCAGGTCACTCTGTTTTCCGTTCCTTGGCTGCAAGTACTATATTGTCTGTTTACAGGATTCGCTAAGTCCAAATCCGCAGGGTGTCCCTTGGCATTGTTTCTACCATGTCCCCCGGGAGGATCCCGCTTGTGAGGCTACATGACCCTTATGGGGAAATTAGTCTTATACCCCTTCTACAGTCAAGCAACATGTCTACCTTCAATATTTTCACTGCCACTCCCGCTCTGTTTACATTCACTGCCACTCCCGCTCTGTTTACATTCACTGCCACTCCCGCTCTGTTTACATTCACTGCCACTCCCGCTCTGTTTACATTCACTGCCACTCCCGCTCTGTTTACATTCACTGCCACTCCCGGTCTGTTTACATTCACTGCCACTCCCGCTCTGTTTACATTCACTGCCACTCCCGCTCTGTTTACATTCACTGCCACTCCCGCTCTGTTTACATTCACTGCCACTCCCGCTCTGTTTACATATGGGTCAAAATCTGCTCACTGATTAAACATGACAGTCTTGACACTAAGATACTTACCACTCGTTAAATACTTGGCATTGATGACATTTTTGGAACTAATTAAATACTTGGCACTAATTAAATGCTTGACATTGATTATATTCTTGGTACTGGTTAAATACCTGGCACTTATGACATTTACTGGGCACTCCAGGCACACACACTTACCATAGTACTTATATCATGTGATGTGTGGATGTAAAACTAGTTAGGACATTCGTACACGTCTTTAGCTGGCTTCTGACATATTTCAATAGACAAATACAGTACAATACTTAGCTTTTGACAAGGGTTGTTCTAGGTAGATATTGAAATGGGCTACATCGTCGACTCACAACCTAGTGTCCAATCTACTACTCCCGCGGTTGAAAAGAGGTAGTTGGGCAGGTTTCCGTTTATCTAATGTCTGATCAACTAACAGTAAATAGGTACCCGGAACTAGGCAACTGTTTCAAATTCAAATGTTTTATTCAGGAAAAGTACATACATAGATGATTTACAAACATAAAGTTGAATTTATAGATAGAGCTAGTACATACAATACCTAAAGCCACCAATACGCATAGCGTTTCGGGCAAGGTGTGGGGGAAAAATAAATACTTAGACTAAAACTTAATAGTAATTGGGATTAGGTATAAATTGTGTTGAAAAAGGAATAAAAAAATGGGGGGAACATGGCAGAAATAATCAATTGTACAAGTTGGAGAACAAACAGCATTGTTAAAAAAAAAGCAAGACATGGTGGTCAAATCTTGCGGGCGGCATCCTGGGAAAGGTCAGTAGCTGGCCTAGGGAGACCTCGATAAGCGAGCCAGATAAGTGATTACTTTTTATAAAATTAAGTAATTGTGTCCAGTGATGAAGATACTGTACATTGCTTAGAAGTAAAGCAACATGTAACACAGGGTGAGTCATTTAGAAGCATGACCCCTTTAGAAGTTATACCCCGTGCTACATGGACACATCGTTCTGAGTAACTAAATCTGAAACAACAACAACAACTTTAGAAGCATCACCCCTAACTTGCAAAACTTGCAATACCGGTCAGTGTTGAGTGAGAAGCTCACGGTGACGGGGCGCATCACGTCACCAAGCTAACATAGCGTGACAGCTTACTTGAAACAAACAATTACAATGCTGCATTAAGTATGGTCAATTGCAATATATATATATATATATATATATATATATATATATATATATATATATATATATATATATATATATATATATATATATATATATATATATATATATATATATATATATATATATATATATATATATAAACCCTT